GGGATTATCATGAAATTTAGGATAAATATTTAGGATTGTAAAATCTTTCAAGTTTAGGGGAATTCCTATCTATCTCGAGAGCTCCTTATTGTCAACTTATAAAATGAATTCATATCTTTCAAGATTCGATTTGTATAATTGATTCGATATTTTTCTCTCATATTCATCCCTTAAAAAATTTTTAAATCTTTTCAAGTTCAGCATAGGATGATTTTTAAAATCTAAAAATTTTATTCAAGTTCATTTTATATCTCAAGTAATATCAAGTGGTTGTCATCTATTAAGCTTGATTCTTTTCCTAAAGTATTTGTTGTTCCTTTTTAAGCTTTTCCAATTTAAACCTAACTAGCATGCATATTTTCATTTTTTTCCTATATGCATCATGCATGTGTTCAGAAACTTCAAACAATTCATCTAATTACAGTCAATATTACTCTTCTTGATCTGATTGTTCAACATTATCTGCCATCAAGCCAAAGCGTTGTGACTTCTTTCTTCTTTTTTCAGTCTCAGATGAGTCTAGAAGCTGGAGTCCGCCCAGAAGCCCTTTGAAATTTCTTCTTGCCCTTCTTTACCATTTGGTTTCTTCCCTCTACCTTTACTCTTGCTAGAGTGGCTTTGAGTGTTGGCAATCAGTTCTTTGCATTATACCTGGTTTCTGCATTCTAACAAAATTACTTCATTAGAAACCTTGCCATTTCTGTTAAACTTACCTCTGTCCATTGCTTGGCGTCCTTTCGGCTTCCTTCTTTAAAAAGCTTCTGAATTGTCTAGTCATTAGTGTAATATCCATCTTCATCCTCAGTTGTGAGTGTTTCACTCTCTGACTCTCTCCACTTTAGTGGCAATATTTTTTCTCCTCTCGTGGTTCACCTACATCAATTCTTCTTTGACTTACTCCTTCTCAATAAGCAGATGAGTGAACCAAAGAAGATTGTCAAAAGAGTAAATGTTAACATCTTTTAGACTCGTGTAAATGCAGTAATTTTAGCATATTAAGCAGTAGGAACATTGAAGAATTTTATTAACCATTTCAGTATTAGTTAATTCACCTACCAAGTGCATACAAAGAGGACCCAATTTTATGTGAATCTTGTGTAACATGTCAGAAGATAGATGCATTTGTCTAAATCATAGTTATTAACAGATATTGAGTCTGATGCTAACCTCCATTTGCCTTCATAAGTTAATACAAAGTCTATCCCATATGTTCTTTCCACTTTATACAAGTAGAACACCTGTCATGTAGTCTTCAATTTTAAAGCACAAAGAAACATTTAGACAATTTGGCATTAATTATTCTAAGTCAACGTTCTTCTATATGCAATATAAAAAGGTGTTTCTAACCATAACTCCATCAACAAATCTAGTTGGTGTTTGTGATCCATCCTGGACTAGCATCCACATTCGATAATCAAGTGACTTGTAAGAAAAGTAGACATGCATGGGTTTCCAAAAACCAAAAGGAATATTGTCAAATAGTGGAGGTTAGTGATAGGAGTAACCTTCAGTGTGTTTTCGGTTCAAATGTAGCCATCTTACGTTAATCAAAAGTAGTTCAAACTTATGATTTTGAAACAAAGCCTGATACCACTTGTTGAGTCTAGAATTAGGTTGTTAAGCCTAAGTTAATGTCCCAAAGGCTACAAAAAGGGGGGGGGGTGAATTGGTTGTTTTTAAAAATTTTAAGCCCTCTTTTAAAATTATGTTGAAACGAAATAAAAATTATTTCTTTTTAAGTTTTGTAGAAAAAGTTTTTCAACCTCAGAATTTTTAAAAACTAAGAATTAAAATGCGGAAAACGTAAAAACAAGTAAAGTAAATGACACCAGATTTATAGTGGTTCGGTCTAAAAAC